TTACCTAAGTACCTACCTGTTTTTTTTTTTTTTTTTACTGGCGTGGTGAATGTCACCTGGATTTTGTTTTGAGGTGCAGACCTAGTAACTCTGACTACATGGGTTTGAAGCTATTATCTATTCTGTTTTTACTGGCCTGGTGAATGGCGACTGATGTTGTCTGTGGATGGCACTGAAACAAATTTTGAGTGTCAACTGCCATGTACAGTGTTTTAATACAATGCTGAGGGCTGAAAGTTGTCTTGTTTAGAGTGGTGAAAGTTCAGGATATGCCAGCCACCATGGTGGGTCAGAGTTAATGTGTTGCAGTCAGTTCGGCTTCGGCAAGCACACGGTTGGGCATACGCATCAAGTCCTGCTCTGCCATACTTTCAGCCAATTTCACCTAGGCAAGTCTTTTGTTTTTTCTGCCAAAAGCTATGACATTGTGAATTTCAGTGCTGTGGCCTGTGTGTAGCTTTCAGGAAAGCAATTCTAAATAAAGCTCTGATAAAGTGCATGAAATCAGCAATGCAGCCCTCTATTACATTTTCTACAACATCTTACTTGTTCCTTGCATGGAGAGAAAAATGCAATGTTATGAATTCGTTTATTCACATAATTTGACAAGCATGCAGTTACCTGCTACTATCACTGCACAAAACAGAGCAGAAAACATCAGTTGATCAAACACAAGACACAACAGAAGTTTACAACATAGGCCTGCCGAACCTGCTTCCTCCCACCACAGTTGATGCCATTTCCTAGCCTGGCTTGATGTGAGCACTGAATAGCTGCTTTGTCTAATTACAGCTCACTACCATTCAACTTAAACTACTCTCTTTAAAGTAAGAGTGAGAGCGTTCAGTGTTCATAGCAGCTCGACAGACGACAGACAACAAACATCTTGACAAACCAACCAGTATTTGATTTGGCTAATGATTTATGTGCCTGTTGTATCATGGCCAAACTACTTTAACAGCAATAATCCCTGTTTCATCTTGATCTTGCTTTTAATTCCATTTGAACTCAGATCTTGAAACAATCATCTGAAGTGATATCAGATACTGGCTTCTGTTTCTCTTGAAAGCAAGTTAAAACAACAATGATAAACTAAGGCAGGAGATGTGAGTTGTGGCAGTAGATTTTTGATTCAACATATGTCAACCTTATATTGCTTGAGACCTCTGTGACAGACAAACAAATATTTATAGTTTTTTGATAGTTTGGATTCTTGGCTTGATTTAGCAGATCAGCTGTGAACCTTGACTTTGAAATCACATAAATGTCATGGTACCCGAACGAATCCTCGCATGACATTTCTTCGTCCGCATTTCTTCGTCTACAAATCTTCGTCGGTGCATTTATTTGTCCATCAATGCTTACTCTTGCATATATTTGCGTTGAAGAAGAAATGCGAGCCGATTTTCATATACCCTGATGCGAGACAAAGTAATGCGATACGAATAAATGCCCTGACGAAGATTTGCAGACGAAGAATTGCGATACGAAAAAGTGCCATAAGAAGAATTGTCCTGGAATCCTTTGTTGGCCATCATATATTGACCTTGATAAGATAAACGCATCATTCGCGCAATATTTGTCGCAATTTGATACCAAATTATTGCTTCCAAATGCCGACGTAAGGAAAACCTTTATGTGACGTCATAGAAACAGAGGAGTTCCCAAAAAGTAAACAAAAATAAAAGTCTTATATCTCGAAAACGGTTGAATATTTTCCGGTAAAATTTGGTAGATGTTCATTTTCGCTCTTTGTGATTCACGCTACATCACTTTTATGCCAATTCATTAACTTTTTTGAAGGTGGGAGGCAGGGGCGGCGCCACGGGTTTTCGATAGGGGGGGACGGGGACCTTGCCTGACCGAAAATCCCAAAAGTAGATACTGATCGTGTATGCAAAAAAAAAAAAAAACGAGGCACGTAACGCCGCGAAACTTGGCAAAGCCCAAAACACATCGAATGGTGCATCCCGTTTCCAAACTTATCCTAGGACACCTAAGATCGATCACCTTTTCAAGCATCCTTGCCTCTAAAGTCTAAATCAAAATTTGCAGTCTTGCCAACTCAAAGCTGGTTTCCTACAAGCTGCGAATTGCTTAGGTATGAGTAGCAGTGCCAACTATTCTTACGTTTCGTACTTTCAAATTTTCGATCTTACGTCTGGTCAGCTTTATGGCTTCACCATCAAATAGTCATGGAGGAAAAGTGGGAATGTCTTCTGCTCTGACAAGTGCGCCAAAACTGCTATATAATTTCAGAATCATGACATCACCACCTGATCCATATGCAACGGGCAGGGTGCAGCTAATGGCTAGCCGTCAGTGGTCATGTCATCGGTGGTCACTCAAAAGGTCATGCTAGGTCATGGAAGGTCACCAGCCGTTATTTGATCACACTTTCTGATGGATTTTCTTACCAAGAGCTTCGCGGAAAAAACGAGCGCATGCACCGTTGAAAAAAAAAATTGAGTGAAAGGGTCTCAGGTCCGACGACCTCTGCAGGTGAAATGCCCCAGGTTGGATTCCGGTCCTTGTTGATTAACTTCGTCAAAAATGGCAGTAGAGCTGTGATGTCGGCACCATTGTGTTCGTCATGATCGAGCTGGCACGACCTGCATCGTTCTCATATTCACCCTCCAATCGTAACAACTACAGCAGGGATTGGCAAATGGCGGGGCACCCCCTTTGGGAGGTAATGAAGGTCTCTGGAAACCTCATCCCTCATCTCTTTAGCATTAGTGGCTCTCCTTATGGAACAGGTCTCTTGGCTGGTCTGTTTCACCCCAGAATTCAAAGACTAGTCAAGGTAAAACCGAGCGCACCACAGTGAGCACAATTTGATAAGCTGGTGTAGGTATCTCAATTTTCATGTAGAACCTTTCACGTATCACGTACCTAAAACCCTTTCGTGCACTCATGCAAAAGCAACTGCCATGTTTCAACAGCTGGTAATGGCATTTTCACAGCCGCTGACGTAAGAAGGGGAGGGGGGCTCGATTAGACCCCCAGCCGTTCGGCCGCCCACCGAACTTAGTTTTGAAGAAAAAAAGAGTGCTATCGAACCCCTTGACGAGAGGGAGCCGATGCTACCCAATTATAAGGTCTTGGGCTACTGCGTGCTTTTTGGTCCTGCCTGTAATCTATCCGAACACTTCTCCCCAAGTGCTGGGGTTAAATGGCATAGATTTCAAATGGTTCCTGTGGTAGAACTGCCATGCTTGAATTTGACTTACATATTAGGAATGGACAATATCCATAGAGTAACGGAAATCTATTGAATTTCAGTAGACTTGGTTTTGTCGGCAATGGGGTCTGGCAGTGGGGTGGGGAGGTAATAACCCTGTGCCTGGCGCCCCAAAAAAGGGAGGGGCACGATCCCCGCTACCGATCACCTTATAACTACAGGCATCACAGCTCCACACCTTTTGCAGATGGCCAGGACCCCCTGCAATACATCCCAACAGCAATTTTTATTCAGAACCTGCCTTGATTAACCAACGATGCATTAAATGCGACGGATAACTCTACAATGCGTTATTATCAACTATTGAACGGGCCTCGCCGATAGGGGGGTACTGTACCCCCCTAACTTTCGATAGCGGGGGACCTGTCCCCCCCGTCCCCCCCGGTGGCGCCGCCCATGGTGGGAGGGTCCCTTTAATGCGCATGACTGTTCGCCAGGTGACTCCACATTTTGCCGCAACCCGCTTATCGGTCATGCCCGATCCGGCCGCCGCGCGCAGGCACCCAGCGACGAGGCAACGTTTAGCCTGCCTATTCATGACTGACCGTGAATGGCTGGTAGTTTCTGCCCTCCAGCCAGGTGGCTAGGTCACCGAAGGTTACGCCTGCGGCTATTCGCTGCCCAGAACTCAACCGCAGCGCGCGTAGGCGAGCTTACCATGCATATGACAGAACTTTTTCCGCACCCTGTATAGAACGGGGGACCATCAAAGCGTCCAAAACCGCAGCATCCAAAGTACGCAACATCCAAAACCGCAGCGTCCAAAGTACGCAACGTCCAAAATACGTCCAAAATCGGGTATATAGGGAGCATTCACAACGTCCAAAACCGATACATCCAAAACCGCAACATCCAAAACGTATCATCCAAAAACGCAACATCCAAGGACGCATCATCCAAAGTACGCAACATCCAAAGTACGCAACATCCAAAGTACGCAACATCCAAAACCGTTAGGTTAGGTTAGGTTAGGCTAGGTTAGGTTAGGTTAGGTTTCCTTATGCCCGGTAGGCATAAATCAGTAGGTTAGGTTAGGTTGGGTTGGGTTGGGTTAGGTTAGGTTAGGTTAGGTTAGGTTAGGTTAGGTTAGGTTAGGTTAGGTTAGGTTAGGTTAGGTTAGGTTAGGTTAGGTTAGGTTAGGTTAGGTTTCTTTATCCCCGGTAGGCAAAAATCAGTAGGTTAGGTTAGGTTAGGTTGGGTTAGGGATAGGCAAAAATCAGTAGGTTAGGTTAGGTTCGGTTAGGTTAGGTTAGGTTAGGTTAGGTTAGGTTAGGTTAGGTTGGTTTTGGATGTTGCGTGCCTTGGATGTCGTGGTCTTGGACGTTGTGGTTTTGGAGGTTACGTACTTTGGATGTTGCGTCTTTGGATGTTGCGTTTTTTGGATGATACGTTTTTGGACGGTGCGGTTTTGGATGTTTCGGTTTTGGACTTTGTGCGGGGTTAGTCGTTCCCAAAATAACGTCACGGCAGTCCTATACTAGAAATTCATCCCTGTTAGAACTAATCACTTATTTTCAAATTCCGATTATTCAAAAAAAGAAAGTATAGACTAAGACAAATAATCTATGCTAAGACATCATAGAAATAATTGGTATAATCTGCAGAGTAAGGAATGGTCTTGGAAATGACTCATTTTCCTACTGAAATTTGAGAATGGGTATGGTAGAAAAGTTAGAAAAGATCCGTGTTCTGGATGTTTTTCGTGACCATCAGAAGCCCATCAATTTACCCCGTAAAGCTTTTCGGTACCTTTTTTCTTGTACCTTAATTTATTTTGTCACTGGTTTTTGATGCAAGGTCCTAAAGTTTGTTATCATTATCAGGATCTATATCAATATACCGGAAAAACAGGTTTTCATTTTTGATGAAATTTAAGGCCCTTTATGTACCGATGACATTTTTGTGTGTGGTGGGTAGATCAGTAGGGCTAGTTCAAGTTACTTACTTTGTTATAGGCCGTGGGTTTGTTGAAAACCAAACATACGCATTGGGTTTGGTTTTGTTCTTGGTTTTGGTTTTGTTGAAGAAGTAGATCTTATTTCACAGAAGGTACCTAACATTCGTGATTTCAGGTTGCGTTCAGAAGCATTCAACTGCAATGATAACCACAATTTATCTGCATTTATGTATATCTGTCATTTCCCTATCGGTCAATGGTACCTACCTTGATCTGTTTCATCAGCATCCAAAGAGTGGGCATTCAAAGTCCAATTCATCTTGCTATTGCTGGGGTCGTGAAATATGCCGGTAATTGTCAAGTTTAAGTCTTAAGCAGATTTCATTGATAAATTTTTCATATTTTTACATTATTTGACATCCTGAATCCAAAAATGATACTCATATGTCTAGCAAATAAAAGAAAAAACAATCAAACCTGACCTAACCTTACCTACTTACCTATAACCTACCTACCAACCTACAACCTACAAACCTACAACCTAACAACCTAACAACCTAAAACCTACAAACCTACCTACAACCTAAAACCTACAAACCTACAACCTAACCTAACCTAAAACCTAAAATTTTTGCTGTTACATATTCGTATCAACAGCGTCACAATTGTAGTTAGGACCTAAACTTGACATATACCAATATGCCCAGAGGGTACCTCGACCTCTCATGAACGGCCACCAGTTTGTTGAGTTACTTTGCAATTCATGACTGTAGATTGTGTAGAATGTGGATGGGCTTGCCTACAGTTGACAGTTTGCATTTTTATGCAGCTTTTAAAAAGCAAGATCCTGTACCTATGGCATCTTACTGCCGGTTTCACAGGTCATTTGTACCATACATTCTGATTTTGCTGAGCTGAGCAACATTTAAGATGATAGTCTTGCCATCATTGGACCCTGGATGCCTTATAACATCGAATGTGATCACCATAGGAGCTAGGAACAATTAAGGTGGAATAAGCCATCCATATCAATTTGTTATGTCCCATTAAATCAGTCATCAATACAATACTTGTCCAACAATTGACATTATGGCAAGGTTGATATGTTAGATAAAGAATTGATATCATTGATGCATTTTGTATTGCAGATGTCACTTTGAGTCTTGCTGGTCTGTATGCACTAAGCAGCATGTTTGGATCACATCCTTTTCAATTAACTCATATTCATTTTTTTATTTTCAGGATTGCACTGTTTGTTAAACCATGTCTCACCAAACTGGAATAACAGCTAATGATGAATTGGTGACATTCTTTGGCAACTGCCGCAATGGAAGTGTACGAGCTGTCAAAATTTCCATTGAAAATGGTAAGTATGCGTTTACTTTCTTTAACCTTTCTGCCGTGACAACCAAGAAAAGCGTAACTCGCATTTTTTCGATTTTGAGATTTTGATACCATTAGATAGAGAATAGCAATCTCCATCTTTCTGCAAAACCGTTTTTCGAAATTCGTATTATTTTTCGAGTTATATCAAATTTTCTTTTTCGAGAAAAGCGTAAATTTTTTTCATCCTCCCTGACCGCAAGCAAAAAAAGCGTAACTACAAACGCAGCTATTAAAAAAGCGTATCTGCAGCGGTCAGGACGATGTGATAGGCAAGAAAAGCGCAACTACGTAGTTGCGCTTTTCTTGCTTATCACCGCGCTGACTTTTACGCACTTGCGCTTTTTTGCCTTTCAGGTGAATGCATAACACTTGGTAGAAGTTTAATTTTGCCAGGGAAATTTGCATTAAAAATGTATTAAGCCCTTCTTGCTTGCGTTTGCCGCCTTTCTATGTTTCACCAATATCTTCTAGTAGGTATCCGGGCGTTTGAATGGAGGAAAACTGTAAGATAAAAGCAACCAAAGTTCAAAACCACCAACTTGAAATAGTAGGTATAGGTATGGGGTGCCATGCCATACCCTGGACCAAGGCCACACGAGCGATATCAAATAGTTTACTTTATTTATTGTGGTGCATGCTCGCTGTGAACTCTTATCAGAAGCGTGTGCAAATTGCGGTTTAGGAGCAGACTTGGTCTCTGAAGAGGTTTAGAACTAAGCGATAAAAAAAAACGGAACAAAGGTCCACGTGCAGCTAAAGGAAAATGTGAAATCAGGAGTAGAGTCGAGCGAGTTCTGGTGAAATAGGACGATCAGGGGCGGGATCTTCCCACCTGCATTTCGACATCCCAGCATTAAGAGAGGCGACCCAACCCCACATGGCCGCCCGGCCAGCCAGCACCGGCAGAGCTGACCATATGGCCGCCCGGCTTGCCCGGTCTGCCAGCCCCGACAGGGCCCCCCCCCCAGGCCTGACCTGCCAGCACCGACAGGGGCGACCCCAAGGCCGCCCGACCTGCCAGCACCGGCATAGGCGACCCAACGGCCCCACGCCCGCCCGGCCTGCCAGCACCGGCAAAGACGACCCCACGGCCGCCTGACCCGCCAGCATCGGCAGAGGTGACCCCACGGCCGCCCGGCTTGCCCGACCTGCCAGCACCAGAAGAGGCGATACAAAGGCCGCCAGGCTTCCCGACCTCCCAGCACCAACGGGGGCGACAGCCGACAACGTGGCCGCCCGGCCTGCCCGACCTCCCAGCACCGACAGGGGCGACCCCAAGGGAGCCTGACCTGCCAGCACCGAAGGAGGCGACCCCACGGCCGCTTGGCCTTGCAGCACCGGCAGAGGTGACCCCACGGCCGCCCGGCTTGCCCGACCCGCCAGCACCGACAGAGGCGAGCCCACGGCTGCCCGGCCTGCCAGCAACGGCAGAGGCTACCCCAAGGCCGCCAGGCCTGCCAGCACCGGCAGAGGCGACAACGTGGCCGCCCGGCCTGCCCGACCTGCCAGCACCGGCAGAGGCGACCCCACGGCTGCCCGGCCTGCCAGCACCGGCAGAGGCGACAACGTGGCCGCCCGGCCTGCCAGCACCGGCAGAGGCGACCCCACGGCTGCCCCCTTTCCAGCACCGGCAGAGGCGACCCCACGGCTGCCCCCCTTCCAGCACCGGCAGAGGCGACAACGTGGCCGCCCGGCCTGCCCCGCCTGCCAGCACCGGCAGAGGCGAGACCCCACGGCTGCCCGGCCTGCCAGCAACAGCAGAGGCTGCCCAAAGGCCGTCTGGCCTGTTCGGCCTGCCAGCACAGACAGATGAAACCCCGCGACTGCGCGGACTGTCAGAACTGACAGGGACGAAAACATGGCCGCCCGGTCTGCCAGCACGAAACAAAGCGACCCCACGGCCGCTTGGTCTTGCAGCACCGGCAGAGGTGACCCCACGGCCGCCCGGCTTGCCCGACCCGCCAGCACCGACAGAGGTGACCCCACGGCCGCCCGGCTTACCCGACCTGCCAGCACCGGCAGAGGCGACCCCACGGCTGCCCGGCCTGCCAGCAACGGCAGAGGCGACAACGTGGCCGCCCGGCCTGCCAGCACCGGTGGAGGCGACCCGACGGCCGCCCGACCCGCCAGCACCGGCAGAGCTGACCATACGGCCGCCCGGCTTGCCCGACCTCCCAGCACCAACAAGGGCGACCCCAAGGCCGCCCGACCTGCCAGCACCGGCATAGGCGACCCAACGGCACCACGGCCGCCCGGCCTGCCAGCCAGCACCGGCATAGGCGACCCAACGGCACCACGGCCGCCCGGCCTGCCAGCACAGACAGATGAAACCCCGCGGCCGCTCGGACTGTCAGAACTGACAGAGGGGAAAACGTGGCCACCCGGCCTGCCAGCACGAAATGAGGCGACCCCACGGCCGCCCGACCTGCCAGCACCGGCAGAGTTGAGCCCACGCCCTCCCGGCCTGCCAGCACCGGCAAAGACGACCCCACGGCCGCCTGACCCGCCAGCATCGGCAGAGGTGACCCCACGGCCGCCCGACCTGCCAGCACCAGAAGAGGCGACCCAAAGGCCGCCAGGCTTCCCAACCTCCCAGCACCGACAGGGGCAACCCCAAGGAAGCCCGACCTGCCAGCACCCAAGGAGGCGACCCCACGGCCACTTGGCCTTGCAGCACCGGCGGAGGCGACCCCACGGCTGCCCGGCCTGCCAGCAACGGCAGAGGCTACCACAAGGCCGCCAGGCCTGCCAGCACCGGCAGAGGCGACAACGTGGCCGCCCAGCCTGCCCGACCTGCCAGCACCGGCAGAGGCGACCCCACGGCTGCCCGGCCTGCCAGCACCGGCAGAGGCGACCCCACGGCTGTCCGGCCTGCCAGCAACAGCAGAGGCTACCCCAAGGCCGTCCGGCCTGTTCGGCCTGCCAGCACAGACAGATGAAACCCCGCGACTGCGCGGACTGTCAGAACTGACAGGGACGAAAACATGGCCGCCCGGTCTGCCAGCACGAAACAAAGCGACCCCACGGCCACCCGACCCGCCAGCACCGGCAGAGGTGACCCCCACGACCGCCCGGCTTGCCCGACCTGCCAGAACCAGAAGAGGCGACCCAAAGGCCGCTAGGCTTCTCGACCTCCCAGCACCAACATGGGCGACAGCCGACAACGTGGCCGCCCGGCCTGCCCGACCTCCCAGCACCGACAGGGGCAACCCCAAGGAAGCCTGACCTGCCAGCACCGAAGGAGGCGACCCCACGGCCACCCGGCCTGCCAGCACGAAATGAGGCGACCCCACGGCCGCCCGACTTGCCAGCACCGGCAGAGTTGAGCCCACGCCCTCCCGGCCTGCCAGAACCGGCAAAGACGACCCCACGGCCGCCTGACCCGCCAGCATCGGCAGAGGTGACCCCACGGCCGCCCGACCTGCCAGCACCAGAAGAGGCGACCCAAAGGCCGCCAGGCTTCCCGACCTCCCAGCACCAACATGGGCGACAGCCGACAACGTGGCCGCCCGGCCTGCCCGACCTCCCAGCACCGACAGGGGCAACCCCAAGGAAGCCTGACCTGCCAGCACCCAAGGAGGCGACCCCACGGCCACTTGGCCTTGTGGCACCGGCGGAGGCGACCCCACGGCCGCCCGAATTGCCCGACCTGCCAGCACCGGCAGAGGCGACCCCACGGCTGCCCGGCCTGCCAGCAACGGCAGAGGCTACCCCAAGGCCGCCAGGCCTGCCAGCACCGGCAGAGACGACAACGTGGCCGCCCGGCCTGCCCGACCTGCCAGTACCGGCAGAGACGACCCCACGGCTGCTCGGCCTGCCAGCACCGGCAGAGGCGACCCCACGGCTGCCCGGCCTGCCAGCAACAGCAGAGGCTACCCCAAGACCGTCCGGCCTGTTCGGCCTGCCAGCACAGACAGATGAAACCCCGCGACTGCGCGGACTGTCAGAACTGACAGTGACGAAAACATGGCCGCCCGGCCTGCCAGCACAAAACAAAGCGACCCCACGGCCACCCGACCCGCCAGCACCGGCAGAGGTGACCCCCACGACCGCCCGGCTTGCCCGACCTGCCAGAACCAGAAGAGGCGACCCAAAGGCCGCTAGGCTTCCCGACCTCCCAGCACCAACGGGGGCGACAGCCGACAACGTGGCCGCCCGGCCTGCCCGACCTCCCAGCACCGAAGGAGGCGACCCCACGGCCACTTGGCCTTGCAGCACCGGCGGAGGCGACCCCACGGCCGCCCGACCCGCCAGCACCGGCAGAGCTGACCATACGGCCGCCCAGCTTGCCCGATCTGCCAGCACCGAAGGAGGAGGCCGCTCGACCTGCCCTACTTGCCAGCACCGACAGGGGCGACCCCACGGCCGTCCGGCCTGCTAGCACCGGTATAGGCGACCCCACGGCCGTCCAGCCTGTCCGACCTGCCAGCACCGAAGGGTGCGACCTGACGGCCGCGATTGCTAAGCATGAAGCATGAAGTCTTAGCATGAAAAGTCGTGAGCTATTTCGAAAGGCATCTAGGCATCCGAAATGGAGAAAAGACGTTTTCGTCCTGGCGTATTTGAAACACCGCATATTCGCCGATACCATAAGATCTCGCAAGCAAAAGAAGCGTAACTACGTAGTTACGCTTCTTTTGCATTTCGCTATGGAGCCGCGCGCTGCACATACTGGACCGGCCGGACTGGAGTGAATGTAGTTACGCTTTTCTTCCCTACATGCCTCGCTGCAATTTGAGCATCGAGTGAAAAGCAAAAACACCTTACACCATTTTCTAGCAATATCTTATATGCCACGTAAAAAATATTTACACTGTTAGGTTCAGTGCAGTATTGCGAACAGTTTGACACCAAGTTTTCTTTGATTGTTTAAGAACCGACGATAATACAAGGTAAAACAGAAAAATCGCTCTCCTGAAAAATCGTCAAAAGCGAGTTACGCTTGTTTTCCTTTTCACGGCAGCTTTGCTGTACCAAATTTTCTGCATTTGTTTAAATCGTTGGGGATAGGTAGGTATTGAATTGTTAGCACCCTAAATGAAGTTAGGGTACTAAAAGCAACCTTGCTTGGCTAGCTGCTTATATTGCATCCATATTTAGAAACTTATATGTGCCTTTGCAACCATCCAGCTGTTGGTAGTTATGTTTGTTGTGTGGCCCCTATCCCATCTGATCAAAATTTGATTTCTCCTGTCCTTATGTAGCTGGTGGCCATCACATTATGTGTCACATGCCAAGTCAGGTTTGACCAAATGTTTCTCACTCACAAAGTCTCAATAGCTGGTGATTCACTGACCTTTTATGCCAACACTGCTGATTCTGTCATAAATGGAAGTTACTAGTAGTGCCTCTTGACCTTTCACTGGTGAACAGGGCAGCCCTCAGACTATTGGTAAGTGAGAAGCCAAGAAATACCATCAAATTGGCACTGTGCTCTGACAAATGAGCACAATACCCACAGTGACTATAAATACAACCAGTATAACGCCTTTTGGGGCGACTAACGGAGCGAGCGAGAGGGTGAGCCTTGCACGTGCGAAATTTCGAGGGGGTACCTCCAGCTGACTTGTGCACGGCACCCTACTAACCGGTCTCTAGCGATGTGCCAAATTTGAGCACAATCGGCCCAGCCGTTCTCGAGATCTGGAAGCGGCACTCTGCACGTGCGCACGTGCAAAATGGGTCCCAACTGACTTGTGCACGGCACCCTACTAACTGGTCCCTAACCGTGTACCAAATTTGAGCGCCATCGGTCCAGCCGTTCTCGAGATCTGGAAACGACCCCTGCACGTGCGCACGTGCAGCAGCACCCCAACTCTGGCACATGGATATGTAGTGCCTAGTGGGTGCCTACCTACATGCCAACTTTCAGCGCAATCGGCCAAGTAATTACCAAGATATTGCAACAATTACAAAACTGACACCTCTTCGTTTTGCACGTGGCGCGTGCATTAGGGGTCACCCACATGCATCGGGAATAGTGCAATACTTGGTAGAAGGAATGAAGCTACCCTACAAAAATTACCGCATGTAAATCGGTCAAGTGGTTGCTGAGATATAAGCCTCGCAAAAGCGTGACCACGGCCGGCCGGCCGCTCATACTCAGAAATTTCCGTTAATCTAAGGAAAGACTACGCTCGCTTCGCTCGCTCCGTAATCAGACAATACCAACAGCTTTGGGGCCAGTGCACCTTGGGCTGATTATACTGAAAATTGGCCTGATTTTTTTACAATGAAGCCTCAAACACAGATCTGCATTTGTGCTCTGTCTGATGTATTTATAATTTATATTCTTGAATCCACATAACGGGTGTCTAGTAATTTTTGGCACAAAACTAAATGTCTCATAAATCACATATATTTTGCTCAAACGTCACCAAACTTCACACATGGTTGGAAGCACTCATACTTAACGCTATCTGATCAGTGCAGGCTGCTGTTGACTCCTCGTCGCTCGGCACGGCGCACGTGCTCCGGGACCCTCTCCATCATGGTGCGCGGCACCTCCTCTCGGATCGAACGAAGAACCCTCTGAATACGGTTCTTCAGCTGGACTTCTGATGCCGTTCTCCATCCGCCCTTGTAAACTTCCTGCTTGACGATGCCCCAGAAGTCCTCGATGGGGCGCAGCTGAGGCACGCAGGGCGGGTTTTCATCACGCGCAACAAACGGCACCCCAGCCTCCTCCAGAAGGGTGACCGTTTTCTTGGCATAGTGGGCCGCTGCCAGGTCTGGCCAAAAGATAAACCCACCATGAGGGTACTGTTCTCTCAAAAATGGGAAAAGTTTCTTCTGGAGACACTCTTGGCGGTAGAAGTCGCCCCCTACGTTGGTGCGGCTCGGGCAGATGACAGGGCTTGACACCCCCCTGGGAGAGATCGCCACCCAGACGAGAAGCTTTCTCGGGAACTTTCCCACAGGCCGGAATCTGACGTCATCCGGTACGTCTCTTCCAGGGCCAGCGTAGAAGCCGGAGTTTGCGGGCATATCACTTCCTGAGAACGTAAAATAGCTCTCATCATCCATGACCATCTCCAGTTCGGCGTTCCTCGAGAACGACCCACGGGCCAGCCGTCTTATCCGGGTCTTCTGCCGCTTTTCTTGCTCAGGAGTGACCTCGGGCACCTTGATCCTTTTCTTATACTTTATGTTGTTATCATGAAGGATTTTCGCCACATACTGATGAGATTCGCCAAAACGCCGGGTCAGCACGCGCAGGGATGTTCCAACGCGTCCCTTGGCGGCATTCAAAAGAAGGAGCTTCTTCTGGGGCCCAAGTTTGGAGGGTTTTGCGCCAGCTTTCCCTTTACCGGCGTGCTTACTGCTACCCCTAGTCTCAGTGCCCTTTAATATACGGTAGGCAGTTTTTCTCGACACTCCTGCTACCTCCAGCCGTGACACAACCTCGCTTTTTGGTAGGAAATGGTGTTCTTTGGCAAAATCGGCCACAAATTCACGAACCTCCGTTTTATTCAAAGTCTCCATGATAAGTGAATATTGCACGAAAATAAAATAAAAATGTTGTGGCGCCTGCACAATTGTTAGGTCTTCATATGCAAAGAATTTCAGTGACATTGGGTGACATTATTGTAAATAAAAATAAATCAAACTTTTGTGCCAAAAATTAGTAGACACCCGTTAGAGTGGGGTGCAGCATGACCCCAGCATTATTAAAGGATACAATGGCCAACCATACCTACTTAAGTGAGATCAGTCTATGATTATCTGCACAAATCGCTGGACCTATTATCTGCACAAAATGCTGGACCTCATGCAAATACTGCACTCAGCTTTCTTCATAACCTGATGTTGATTACAACATATGCTAAGTTGTTCTTTGCATATTCCTCCTGCAATTTAAGCTCTTTGTTGGTCTTTTTGAAGTCTTGCTATTTTATATCTGACGACCAATAAACGATAGCGGTGCTACATTGCCGTTGGCTCCTTATTCGCCGTGGTGCGTCGCCCGATGTTCCATCCAATGGTGTAGTATGTTTGTCTGGTCGGTCAGAGCGACAGCTGAGTTTTCGCGACGGCGGGGCCTCAGAGCGGGGCCACGCCGCAGGGCTTGAGTAGAACGGCACTTACCGGCTGACCTACCGCAGGTACTGGCAAGGGCGGTGACATACGCTGCTATCAATCGCTTTGATTGCGATAGAGTGAGGTGACATATTTCACAGCTTTTGTGCTACCTGTTGAAACAGAAAGATAAAAATGCGTACAAACTATTGGCAACGACGGCCGCCTTGGCTGCTGCTACCCTTGCTTCTCTCACAGCTAATGCTACCGCTGCTGCTGTCTCTGACTGGTATCGAGCCTGTCCACTCATCACACACAATGTACATGTCCATGCGGCGGGCGCTCTGGACGGCCCCATCAGTCGCCGTGACTGAAACTACAACCACCCGAACGACTACGACCACAACGAAAAGGCAGGGGCGACCAGCGGGACGGCAACTACCTCTCCGAGCAAACCAGAGCCGACTGGCACTTCGACCATCATTCCGGGGCCGGGAGAGGTGGCCGACGGCGAACCGTCCTCTGTGAACGGATAGCTGGCTACCGGCCTGTCTGGAGGCTTTGTCAGGAGTGGCGAGTGGCAACAGGCCCGGTTTTCTGTAAGGAATGCACGAGTACGACAATAGCGCATGTGTGCACCTTCAACTGATCACGGTACCCGCGTCAGCTTTCGTCGAAATGCTTAGCTTGCCCGGAGTTGGCTCATCTGTGTCTCTTCTGATTACTTCAAAGGGACGATTATCAAAATGCGCATCTGCTGTTGCATTCAGCGATAAATCGTTGCTTGGTCCATGGTGTTGCCCGTGCATCTCGATGGAGTGGTGCGCTTAGGCCAGTTTATCTGGACAAAGGACAAAGATGGATGTCGGATGAGATCACACTGCTTCCTAACGATTCAGTGCACGCTGATAACTGAGAGGAGGTGCGGTGCAATATTTGATTTTGAATATTTGATTTTTTGAAAATTTTGATTTTTTTTTGCCGAAGCTGATGCTCTGCCAGCGAAATTGCAATTCTAAGCGGATCCAAACAGATTTCAAACCGCGACCCCGAGGCCCGTTCAGTAATGGGGGATCGTGAGCTGACCCGGAGTCCTGACGGCGTGTTTCAGAGCAGCTGAGCCTGCACACACACGTGCCGGCCGACTCGACCTGGGAGCGGGACTGGGACAGCGTGGTTCCCGACCTGGTCGATGACAAACAGCCCACCTATGTGCTCTACAGGTACGGGACGCTGCGGTATACTTACTTGCTTTACTGCGGAGTCCTTTACAGTTTACTTCTGATGACCACTCGTTAACTTCGGAGCGCATCCTTATTGCTTATTCAGCCGTCTTTTTCTATGTATTTATTTACAGTTCATTCCCGTTGTTGTGTTCCTTAAAAGAAGCACGTATTTTTATCGTGAACTTTGTCTAACTTCTTTTTTATTAGCGTGTCTTAGTTTCGGTAACGTTCCAGGCTGGACTCGAAGAACTCGATGGGTTTCGAGTGGCTGATGATCACCTGGTCGCCGGACGACTCGCCAGTCCGACAGAAAATGCTCTACGCCTCCACAAAGGCCACGCTCAAGAAGGAGTTTGGCGGAGCTCAGATCAAAGATGAAGTGTTCGCGACCGTAAAGGTATGATGCATTTTAACTTACTTGCAATGATCAGTGACCACAGTTCGCATATTCTTACTACTTGGTCAGCAATATCGATAGTCGCTGTTTATTTTTTGGGGACTGAATACGAGTACGCGATAGCAAAAGTTTGCATCAATGGTTCGCATAAAAGCTTGCTGTTTGTGTTTGCTTTTCCTGTGTTTGTGTCGGGAACATCGGCCTCCGGTGTCTATCTGCTATGGTCAGCGATATCACCATGGTGCCGCCTCTCTCCGCAGGAGGACGTCACGTTCAGCGGCTACCAGCGCCACCTGCGGGCGCAGAAGGCGCCGGCGCCGCGCTCCATGGCAGAGGAGGAGAAGGCAGAGATCCGCCGGGCGGAGGTACGACGACCGCAGTTTCACACTGTTGAAATTTGAGTGGAATCTCACACCAACACACAGACCTTTAGGCGTTCTTCTTCAAAATATGCTTGGGCTTAGTAATTGCCAGGCGGATGTGCATTTGACAGATTAAATTCAGCCTCTGTCCTTTCATGGTGCCCGAGGAGCGATGTTTGACGGCAACATTGATCGTCGTTTGTGCTACCTGTTGTCATGATACTTATGATTGCGAGTAACGCTGCACGAACCACAATAAATTGTTTCAAATGTTAATTTGCTCCCTTATCAGCCATTCCGTCACAATATTACGCTGTTGCAGAGCTGTAGATTACTTTCCTGTGTATTTGTGTAGCTAATGCTGGCAGCTGTGTGTATGAGTGTGTGTGTGTGTGTGTGTGTGGGGGGGGGGGGCAGGATATGACCCCGTGTGACCTGTGATGTGACCTTTCCATTCAGGTGAGTGTCGACGTGGCGGTCGACACCAAGCAGCAGACGATGGGCAGCGTGGCCTTCCCCATCAGCCGAGACGCGCTGGATGAGATCAGCAGGCTGTCCGAGGGCCGGATCAACTATGTGCAGCTCAGCATAGGTAGGTTAACTCGCTGATTGGACCTGGGACGTCCCGATGATGGGGTTCGGGATACTGGGTGTATTTTTAGCCCGGGTGGTGGTGTCTTTTAATATTAGACTGCCATGGATTACGACAGCGTTATTGGCAACATTCACTGTTTAGTGGAGCTCATAAGAGCTTCTACTATGGGGAAATGGTGTACTAGAATTATTCGCTATCAAAACATTTCGTAGCGACGCTACTCGAGATTTAAAGGCCAGGGGCGGTGTTTTAAGTACTTATTTTTGCTTAAATATCACTTCCTGCGTTTGAGAAAAATGACCATGACGCCTATGCGAGGGATCCAGAATCACCCTGGTAGGTATTGTTCTTACTGGTTTCCTTTTTCCCTCCTCCTCTCTCTCTCTCCCTCCCATAAGTTTTTTTATCATTTTCCGTTTCCGTTCGGCAGACCTGGACCGGGAGACCATCAACCTGGCGGGTTCGGACAGCACGCCCGTGTCGGCGCTGGCGTCTCGCGTGCCCACTGACCAGGCGCGCTACCACCTGTACGTGTTCACACACCAGTACGAGGGCGACGTCTTCCACAGTCTCGGTGAGTCGGCACGTAGTGGGTGTGACCAGGGTGTGCGGCGCACTGTGGGCAGTGTGACCGCGGCGCTGCATCATTCGGTCCAGAGTAGTGCCGCGGCTCGGTGAGAGTTCAAAGGCCACTTATAAACCACTTGCGCAATGTATTATGAGAATGCGTAACAAGAAACTCGAGTATCCTGTCTGTAGTTTTCATACATGATATAGGTAACTTATGTTATGACACTCGTCTGCAGGCCGCTGCGGAGTTGATTGTTTTTTTTGTGACTGACTCTGAATCCGACTCTAGATCCGACTCTGAGCATTTCTGTCTGAGCCCTTATCATTATAGTTGAGTTCAGGTTAGATATCTTCTTATCTTGCCTGGGACGATCCTCGCGGGTTCCAAGTCTATAGGTTTCAAATGTATTTTATGCAAAAAAAAAAAAAAAAACTATGAAATACAAAACTAGAATAGGCTCTGGCGCGGGCTCGTACGTCGTATGGAGCGGACCGCAGAACGCTCCTTTTGTATCGGTCGAGTGTCCGATCGAAACTGGATTACGCGTGTCTCGTATGCGACTCTGCTAGCGAATCCAGTAAAAAGGCTCGTGATTCCGTGCATCATGCAGCGCTCCGTTTTAGGTCGTCAAGCTGGCAGACAGTGGCATCTCCATGGATCAGATAAACTGAGGAGGGTAAAACGTCCTACCTTGGAGCCCTGACAGTCTTGTTTTCAAAGCAACAGGCACCAGGAAGTGGTCTTCTGCAGATTGCGTTTAGGCCATACGTATGCAACGCATGGTCATCTCCTCCGTGGAGATGAACATTGAACAGCCCACATGCAATCAGTGTGCCGTGCCTCACAGTCGCTCAATTCTGTTATCTTGTCCATATCTCGAACCGAACCGGACACGCTATCTCGGCTACATCGCTCCGGGTACCACTATCCGCCACCTGCTGGGTGACGAGTCACCGTGGGTTTTATCAGACAGGAGACAGGAGTAAGACAACGCTCATCCAAGACAGGAGTATGGTCTAAGTTTCGGTAAAACATGTTTTGGATAGGTCATCGACCGTACTATTGTCAAGCAAACAACTGTAGGGCATGCCTGAGTCATGCAAAGTTGCCTCCCGTTCCGGGCACAACTGTCGACTCCGACCGACTCGGACTCCGCAGCACTGCTAGTTAGTCAGGCCAGCACACTCGAATATCCACTATCCCCCCCCCCCCCCGAACTACCCCGTGTCGAAGTTGTTCACCTTTCACATATATCATCGCCCCTCCGCAGTGTTCATCTATTCGATGCCGGGGTACTGCTGCTCGATCCGCGAGCGGATGCTCTACTCCAGCTGCAAGTCTTCCGTGATTGATTTTATTGAGAATCAGTGTCAGCTGAACATCACGAAAAAGGTAAGCTGCACGGCTGATACGTGGTGTTAATTCCTAGCGAAGCCGTGTACAGAACCGTAGTAGTGCAGTGCATCAGAGCAATGGCGTATTCACAGACGATGTTTTGTTTATTGGAGTGGTGAAAGTTATACCTTGGCCACTCACTGGTAGTTATCTTACGATGGCTGTCGTAAGAAAAACATTCGTGCTGTTTACATGCGTGTAACAAGCTTCTGTTCATGCCCGCCTGTCGCTCACTAACTAATTGAAGTGTAAATCTGTGTATTGATGTGGTCTCTATTTCCCCAACAGATCGAAATAGACGACCCCTTAGAGCTGACGGAGCAGTTCCTACTGGACGAGATCCACCCCAAGAAGATGCTGCACCGACCAAAGTTCGCCAAGCCCAAGGGCCCGGCCAACCGGGGCGCTAAGCGGCTCACCAAAACCTCGCCGGACTCGTAGCCGAGAGGTGGCCCTCTCTTTGCGCGTGCTGTGCCGGTAAGCGGGCGGGGCGCCGGGCGCGACCGGCAACTGTCGTCTGCCACATGACTGCGGAGTGTTCTAGTAATCGCTGCGATTTTGCCGTGATCTATTTACCAGTGCCGTCACATGATTGGCATGTCAATCAGTCTCAGTCCGCTAGAGGTTGGCTGGCAGACGTGCGAACGGCGCCAAAAAGTCGGCGACAATTTCTGTGATGTGTAATCGTTAACTGTACGTCAAAGTCCTTTTATAGCAGAGTTTCGAAAGGTTTTGTATTCCGAGGAATTTGGCGTATCTTATAGGCTTGCTGGTGATAGCAGCCAAGGTTGTGATAAAGGGCGAGGCCACCAATGCAGCCTCGCTTTCTCCATATATTGAAGCACTGAAGCGCCAATCGATCATCTTGGATCAGCTGAGAGCGACACCCGGTTCTGTCGGCGATCAGGGGCTTCTGTATCTGTCTGGTACCAAACTTCCCGAGCCATCCTTGTGTACCTCTGGTGCGGTTCTTAACTTCTTCGTGCCGTGTTACTTCTTCAGACCCAGGATCGTTGGGTTTACCAAAGACTGTCGGAAGTTATGTATCGATGTCTTGAAAGTCGCCTGTCGGCACCGTCTTCATGCTTGGTATCGATTAGTTGTTAATCGCCGCTTTGAGATATAAAACGTAGCTGCACCCTGCGTTGATCAGATACAGGTGTGGACGAAATGTCATTTCGAGCTGTTTGCGGATAAGATACAGCAATATCTGCGCGTAATAAGCGCCAATTGGACGCTAATTGGATATTCGATCGTCGTGTGCTGATAATTGATACCGCCCTTTAGACCACAGGCCAACTGAAATGCGTATTTAATTATCAATTTCCACCTGGCCCAGGTAGTGAGTGGTGGGCGATGAACAACGCTGACGTACTATCCGCGACTCGTTTTATATGCGCTAATATACTGTGTTAGCTTATGCAGCTTTTCATTCATTTTTACTCTCAGAACCAGTTTTTTACATTCATATTTTGTCCCATGAACGGTCAACAGAACATACGCCGTTCACTTAGAAAACATTTATATTCATACAGCAAGGCACATCATTGTTTCACGTAGCATGCGATCCCACAAGCATGACGGGCAGCGATCGGCCGCACCACCAAACGGCAGCTGCGCTCATCTTATGGCCCAGAGATCCACCCACCTGTACGTGGCGCCGGGACAAAGAATCCAGCTTCAGGCACATTCCGCCACGCAAATTGATTGGAAAGCGCAATTATATGTCCGAGCTAAAACTAGATTCATACCATGAGGCAATGCAAAATGGAGTATCATCGCGAACAAAAATGGCACCGCCTAACAACCAGCGCAAGTGCTTAATCAGTATAGTTCGGTAGTCCAGTGCCCCATGCACAAAAGAGGCGATAAACATATACAAAAATTACTCCAAGAATGATATTCATCAGGTCACTGCAATACTCATGGCCGACAAAACCGATTGATCGTCAATGCGTGGGCAAGCCTCGCCCATAACATCGCACTTGTCATCAACCCTGTCAGTGCAAGCCTCCCTAGCGAAGCGGCGGCGGTCCACTTTCCACTACAATGATCACGAAAACCACGTAACAACTCAATCAACAAAATTATGGGCACTTTATGTACACTTTATGCACATGACCAGACACTTGTGGTATGAGGATGAAACAAAACGTGACAACTCGAAAAGCCCTCGGACTTCACGGGGCAGCACTCGTGATGTGTACATGAGTCCGCGGATGCTGCTCCTTCAGTCGAAGCTAGGAATGTCGTCGAACGAGAACCCATCGTAGCCGAAGTAGGCCATGTAGGCCACGCGCACGTGGTAGGATCCCGGTATGAACATGATGAGACCGAGCAGAATCAGCGGCCACGTCCGGTCGGCGTACTGCGCAAAACAAACAAATGTCACAACTCACCCACGAAAACGGACGCAGCCTTTTGCAATTAAGATTTGCTAACTTGTTCCTGTCTTATCGAACTATGCGAATAAAAGATACCTGGAACCATGAATCAAATATGAACAGGTAAAATATGACATTGCTTTCACATATGAAGCTATAACAATCAATAAAAATCGTGAGATGAAACTAATGATTCTAAAGCAATGTCTGTAAACACATTTCCGTTGCAATTTTAATCCCAATCAATGTGTGACGTTAGGAACATATAAAAAATTTACGTGCATGACAACTTTATCACAAGCCTAGCGAGTCCTGCCACACAGGCCAGCGGCGACCAGCGACTCACTCTTTCATCGATCAGGAAACCGGACACAAGGAGGCTGCCCATGACGAGCAGTGTGGTGCCGATCGCAAACAGAAATGACGCCAAAAAGATGCTCTTCCATGGAATCGGCTTCCTTACCACCATGTACTGTAGACGACAGGAGAAAAAACATCAGTCAAATACATTTCAGAAATAAATGGTGACCAAGTCACATCGTTACAATTTTCAAGTACTGTAGTTCAGGTGGTTGTAGGTATGTAAGATGTAGCAACATGTAGGTCAAAACACAATTGCAATGCTTCAAGACAATTATGATGCTGAAGATGATTTAGTGAGACAAGGCACACCAATTTTCAAGGCCTTGCAAGGCATGATTTTGACCAGTAAAACGGAAACCTTGCTCTAATGACCAAAGGTACTGCCAGTATTTTATAATTAAAACTACCATTGATTGTGGCTGGTGAGTCCCACTCATGAGTCACTTCACTTTCAGTCTGTGGGGCCTAGAAAATAAGGCATCCATATCTAACACTTGGTGGCAGGGTGCTCAAGGCAAGCTAGCAGTGTCATCCTGGATATCAGATTACCCCACTTATTCACCACAAGCCATAGTTAACCCGCGCCCTGGTGGGGTCTGTTTATAACGCGACCTGGTGGGGGGGGGGGGGGCTATTTTTTGCCCCCCCCCCTCGTATCTCCGAAACTACTGGACGGATCCGCAAAATTCAAACGGCGTTCGAAAGGCCTGTCAAATTTGTTGAAGGAAACCAAATTTCATTGACCTCGGGGTCACCGATGACGTCACAGGTCAGGTCAAAGATGAAATGTTTCACCGTTCACGGGTCTTTTAGGGAATGCGCTATAACACCGAGGAAAACGCATTTTGTCGAGAATCAGCGATAGGGCGTCAGTTGCCTAGTAGATATGTTGCTATTAGAGGTCACTGACAATACCAGGTCAGGTCACAGGTCAGGTCACCAAGGGTCACAGGTCAGGTCACATGAGCCCAACTTTACTAAGGTTGTGTGATGCATGTTTTATGGCCAATTTTTCATTTCCAACTCAATCGTGTTGGTTATAAGACTATCAGGTACGGCTTAGGTCACTTTCTGGTGAAGTTCAGGTCAAGGTCAGGTCAAGGTCAGGCCAAAAAAGGTCAAATTTTAAAGTTGATAGTTTTGTATAAACTGGGTATTGATTCGATGCAGCTCGTCACGGGGAGTCTAATGGTGGTCTTTGTTTTGCGCTACGGGGTCTAGAATTGCTAAAAATTGAGTTTGAAAATTTGACGTCATCAATTTTGAACAGTTTTTTCGCTATAACTTCGCCAAAAAAAGAGGTATCAATCTCAAATTTGGTATGTGGATGGAAGGCGGGAAGGACTATCACATATATTCCGGTTTTTGCGAAATTCAAAAACTTTTTGGATTTTTCGATTATTATATCCAAAAAAATTATTTTTTGATTTTTGGGAGTCAAAATTCAAAAATTTCAAAAATCCGAGATAGCAGTTTTGTAGCCCTGTCGATTCTACAGCTTTTATGTCTTTATCATTTTTCTGTGTTTTCAAAGCTATAGGCCTGACAGCTCTTCCCCCGAAACCCTTTTTTGGGTCGAAAACGGCAGAACATGACGTCACTCTGACGTCATTTCCGGCCAACCTATCATAGCCTTTGGAAACATTTTTGGTCACAATGTGTAGAATTGATGTCCGGGAGGGTACTGAAAGTTTGGTGACGATCGGCGCAGCGGTTCTGGAGATATATCGAAAAGTCTGGAGGGGGGGGGGGCAAAAAATAGCCCCCCCCCCACCAGGTCGCGGGTTAAGGTACCAGTGCTAGAGCCATCAGTCATCACTTACTGATTGATCAGACATAAAAACCCAAGGATCAGAACTAATGGCCTGCTGCAAAGCCCTCTGTCCTCTCAATGGTGGGGAGCCCGGCAGCAAAACATGGAAGGTAATCTCAAAATATTGTTTGGTGCTGGGGTACTACAACAGCATGCAGTACAGTGTTGATTTTTTGATGTTATACAGAATTTCCATAGAAGGGTACACACCCTTGGTGATGCTTTGCAGTTTGGGTGGTCAGCACAATCACTGACCTGTTGATCACTGAACTCTCCATCGCCAATCTGTGTCAGTCTGTGGTACTCCGCAGCTGAGCCACTGCCTGTACGACGGCGCATGTTTGACAAACAGCCGTATACAGTGGATCTAACACCACCAACAGGCAACAGCAGTAACAGTCTGCAAAAACATCACAAGAGCATCAATGTATCGTGTCAGACATTGTGATATTTATTCACTTTCCATGACAACACAACACACACACGATGACAACACAAAATATTTAGAATATTTGCTTTTGTGTTGTCATCAAATGTGATTATATATCACAAGAGCATTAATATTTGCTGATGACCTGTCAAGTGCTAAATAAAAGTTGCGAGTACAATCAAGATGCGCGGATCTTAATTTCAACTTTCGTCATTTCGATCTTGTATTTTATATCAAAATCTAGTCTCAACGGAAGCAAAACTATACTTTAAATAAAGAACCATAGGTACCTGAAGAAGAGTCAGTTGGGCAAACTAGACCTTTGGAATCAAAATATGGAGGCATCAAAAGATTGATTCCTTTTGACCATATTTGGGCATAAATGCAGACCATTTCTAACTTACCAAACACATAAAAATAAGAGAGTGTTTCCAGAAGGAGCATGCCTGATCTTGAACAGAAATGCTGAAAGTATCTCCTAAGCAAAATAATATTGCTCCTATCATAGCAATTTGAATTCTATAGGTAGTGAAAGGCAATCAAGGAATTGATTCACTTTAAACAGATAATCATAATATTGATTCCCCATCAGCTGGCTAATCATTATTTTGATTCACAGGTAATGTTAAGAGATAGGTAACAATGACTTGCAAGAATACAGCATTTATCTATTATTCTCATTAAGTGTGATCCACGGTATATAGAGAACTGTGTGATCCTCAGCACCACAACAGATACCTTTAGCATTGTTGTACATAACCTTCACAACATTTGATAACAATTCACAATTTTTAAATGTCAAGAATACAAAAACTGAAGCAACAGGTAAAAGCCATATAATAAATATAAAAGCACTACAACAGTGATAATTAGGGGTTTGAAAATTTCATTTTGCCATTTTACACAAATACTGATTGTTTAGTATGCAATTCATGATACAAAAATAACAAACAGTGTGATTTCCTCAAAACAGCTTTTACGTGATGGACAGTGCCTCTATCTTTTTCCCATTCACAAGGCCAAAGGGACAATTTGTTAGTTTTGAGGTAACACTTTTTGCAAACCTACCACATTTTTCTACCTTTTTAAAGAAAAATCTCACCGTCATGGGCCTTTTTCGGTAAATGTCAAGTTTACGTCCTAAGCACATTTCAATGATATTTCTTTCATAATCTTACATATTTTGACATGCTGAATCCAAAAATCATACTTACATGTCTCGCAAGAACAAAATTATCACCAATACACTAAGCAATTACACCTTCCCACAACACACGATCAAAACAAATCGAGAGGAAATTGAAAGTGTCCAGCGTTGCCATTTGTGAAAAATATTTTGTCTTTTTTTAATGTCGAGAAATAAAAACATTCAATATATTATAAAAATAGATAGGAAATATGTAAAAAATATTTATTTAAAAAGAAATATT